TTAAGACCAACACTAATCTACCTTCCTTTTCAGGTCCGTCAAGAAACACCCTTCCAGCATACAAGAATAAAGTGCTCATAATCAGATCCTTCCTACACCCCGCACAGTCTCTCATATCTCCACGACTCACCCTTCTCACATTCCTCTATCAGCCTACACCGCTAATGCGAACGATTCGAGTACATTCCTGGTCTCCTGAAACCCCACTCTAAACTACATGTTGCAGCTTTTGATGTCCGGACATTGTGTTAAATAGAACAACAGACTTCCCTAACTAGGACTTTAAAATCTCGCACAATCGAAGAATGCTGCGTCTCTGAAACGCACATAAAGGACCCGAGTAGCGTCATTCATTTGACCTCACCATGTTTAAATAAAAAATCAGCCTGATTTATTCTTCGTATATCTAGTAGACTTGCTGCTGCTTTCCGGGGTTTCGCTGGCGCAGGTAAATAATTAAGTGCTGGGGCAAAAGTAGATCTCTTAGACTGGACATCCATTAGTACGATAGATTTTCCTGGAGGGAAATGAAATCTGAAGGTCAACTGGCCAGCACATGCTCGCAAACTTGGGACCCAAAATAAGGCCCCTATCAAGCGAGTGTTAGGGATCTAACAAGGATTATAGGTCGATTTTAACTTGTCCAGATGGTAAGCACTTAGTAAAGTGCCTAGAGTGATCATTAAACCAGTTAATGCAAATGTCCCTCCCAGTCCCTTTTATCACAGGCCTTGTTATATGCTGATGTCACGAATAGTTGGGGGACAAATAAGGTGATAGTTTGGAGATTGAAAGTGATCTGCTGAAATCATCTGAGTATTTCTGCACAACTTTGAGTGAGTTATAACGCATTTCGGTCGCCAAGGTACAGAAACACGGTAACATTGAGCCACATGACGCTTGGACATATTAATCTAAAATTCGTCGTGCGCAATATATGGAAAACTTCTACAGCTCTTAAATTTAACCCACTACATTTACCGCATGGTTTATGAGTTTATCTATTGCGTATTGCTGAAGCTATTGAAATCCATTATCACAAACCAGACCTTTTCGTTCAAACGAGGTTTGTACAACTATTCTTCTATAATTATCGACACAACAGTGAGTTTTAGTTGAAATTTAACTAACTTCATTCTTCTAATATATCTAGAAAACTCTTGTAATTTATCATATTCTGTACAGTCGTCTCTTTATTCTTACATAATACTGATTCTTCGTCAAAATATTTTGTAAATTTCTCTGCATATTGCGTAACAGAAACTATCTAATTGAATACTTCGAATAATTACACAGGTTACTGTTATCCTTTTTTCTTCAATTACGAAATATTATTTAATAAGTAGCGTTATCATACGGTAGTTACGTTAAGTAATTGCGCGATGAGTATTATACTATCGTTATAGATCATATATGTTAGCGCAGTCTTAATGAAATACCAGTTAAAAAAGTATCCTACACCTTGGGCGGTTTATCAACCAATTAGCGCTTCCTATTTAAAAACAGTCGGGTTAATGCCTTGTTTCGCATAACCAACAGTCATTTGTCGAATTATTCGTTGCAGAAAAAGGGAAAGGCTGAGTTCACCTATTAAAGAACTGGACTGATGACATGGAGTTAGTTTGATCAACCCAGTTTTCGTCACCAACTGAGATGATGATGCAGAATGGTTAGAATCAGGTGTTAAAAGTTAAACTGCAGAAGGATTGGTTTGCCTTTTATTCCTATTCGAGTTTGATACCATCTCAAACCACCGAGTTGCACCATATCTCAGTCTCATTGAGGGAGTCGTGTTTCAGACAAACAAGTTCAATAACCCTCTCAACGTGATTAAGAATTCCTACTCTGCACCAGAACGAGCTGTGCTTTTTGTATCTGGTGACACTAATCGGAATTTAGAGTAACTGTTAGGATATAGTTTTTGTATGCCTTTTAACCTAATATTTATTTGGATACATTTAGTTTATTACTGGTATAAACGAATCTCGGTTTTAATTCATTTAGCTAGTGCTGAGAAATGTAGAGGGGAAGGAAATTATGACAAATTTGTTAGTTAACATAAATTAAGGTGAGACTTCCTACTAACATACTACTGCGAATCTTGATGTACGATTTATCTAGTTGTCTATGCTTAGTGAGTAATTTATCTGAAATATTTACTGAGATAAGACCATGCCCAGCTTTTTCATTCTAGAAATCATAAAGCAAAAAATGCACCACCTCATCAAATCATAGGTAATTAACAAAGTAAGAACATGAATCATCTAAATATTGGAAAGTTGCCCAATGTCAGCATCCTGGAAGTTTGATCTAAGCACTGTTTACACAGTAAAATCAGAGCTAACGAAACCTTGGCTACCATGAATCACAAGATGTGTAGACTGCCAGAAGCAAACTGACCTTGCTTCCACATACTTTTTAGAAACTAGAGCAGTAAACATTCCTTTTCAAACCCAAAGAAACTACCAGATTCCTGGTTTTACTTGAGAGGAGCATTCATTGTGTTCTATGAAACTCTTATCTTCTGAAGTCATCACCTCTATCTTTCTCTTCCTAAACTTATCTCACTGAATCATACTTATTAAATAATATCTTCGAAACCTAACATGTCTCATTACCGTTAATACATCTACTACTGTGTTCTAATGTGGTATGGCAACATGAATTTATGTACGTCGTAACTGACTCTCCTTAATCTCTCACTCGAATAGATAGCCTGTACTTCCTTAGTCCACCTTTCAATGGTAGACAGTCAAAGAACTTCCTAATCGACCCAGTCAAACACCCCTCCTCACTGTAGGCAATGTAATTATATCCAGGCGTTGCAAAGTTTATCAGTGTTCTATGACCTGACAGTGTGTGATTATCTGGTTTCTGCATGAAAAATCTGAAAAGCTGTCTATTGTTATCTATCGCCGCTGACTTTTCAATCTCTCTTGCTTTTGCTACCCACCACCATTCCTGATCATTGCTTAGGTTTCCTATCAACATGCACTTACGCTGACTTTGCTCATGTTCAGATCCAGACGTGTCGAAGTTTCCATTACCCATAATTTCAGTCCATGTTACTTAAATCAACTGCTTATCACTAAACTCACGGTTTACATTGCGAGCAGATGCAAAGAATCATCAGTAGAGGTAATTATCACATTTTTACGAAGACATCAGTTAGAGGAAACCAGAAAAAAGTCTTGACATCGCTTTACTGTATGGATCGAGAGTCAGGATATTTCTAATTTTGAATTCGTCTTCATAAACTAATTGGATTTAAGGTGCCACAAGGCTGCCTTCAGGAAGGCAGAAAAAAGAGGAACAGAATATAGAAGCAGGATCACTGACAATGGTAACAAATATCACAGTAATGAGTATGAAGTTGCACTACTTCATGACAATATAGGAATAGGTTGATGATGATCAGTTACGATCGTTAATCTCTGTATTTCACGACAGAACATGGTTCTAAAATTCCCCTTAACAAAAGAAAGGACGACTCCATTCACGTACGTTTGTCTAAATAAACATTTCGAGGTTCGAATCTATCCATGTAGACATCTCAGGAACCAACGACGAATTACAATAAATAGTTCATCTATAATAATGCATCTGTAAATAGGTTGCCGGATATATTCTACAGAATTCACCGCCGAAAAAAAAGACGCTGATTCACTCTACTGAATACTTAGACTGAAATGTGACACTGCCGTGGCAATAAATTCATGATACGAATGAAAATACATTAGCATAGTAGTCCAAATCCGGTGACCAATGACTAACAAAACACGCTAAGGATAGACAATTTAGTAAAGCAAGACGATATACTAAAGATCCTATATCTATCACGGATTCCGAAGTCATACGTACGTAGAGGAAGTAAGTATGTGGCATTAGACCTGTTATTTACCTTATGCCGCACATTGTTGTATTAAGACTTATGATACATCGAGTTAAATGCAAGAATTCGCGTTCTTCAACTTACTAATACTTAAAAAGTGAAAAATTTTTATACGCTTTCAACCACAATTGTTATACAAAAGACAGTTGTGCATCTAATACGGAACTGTGAAAAAACTAAGAACAATTGCTATTGAATAAAAAGCAAATCCTCCTGAACATTAACTAGTTCTAACAATTAAAAGCTTTTACCTCAACTCATGTACGTTATTTAATCAGAGTATCACCTTCAATGATGTTAACAATAACATATTAAATGTGTACGTAGATAATTGTACATGAACTGAGTGGTGAAAAAGTCTAATATAAACACTTGAGCCAATCTATTTCGCAGGACAGTACGTTCACAAGTATTAGGTTGCCAACATGCAAACAGGTAAACGAAATGGTCTGTTTTAATTGTCTTACACAACTAAAGACTGCCCTATTGGTTGATCAACAGTCAAACAATGGTCAAAGTAACTATGATGATGGTAATCACAGTACCATTTGAGGGAATATGCTATTCAGTTTGATAACTGAGCAGAGAAGCACTAAAGATGAAGACTTGTAATGATTACTGGTAGTTTTAAACGCCAAATAACATGTTATGTGTTGAACACAGTTGTTAAGAGGCGATCATTTGATCGTGAGATTTACTGAAATCCAGCATTCAATCCAGCACAAAACCAGAATTATGAAAACTGATATGATTCAATTGATCTCTTTCAGAGACATAAGATAACGAAGATTCATACGTACAGAAACAACAGCCAATAATATGTCAATTAGAAACCTAGTGTGACCAAACGATGAACAGGTTTTTATAGCACAAGTTCACAAACGACAATATCATGTTTTGTTGCCTAGTACTATATTACCCTAAAATTCCTTAAAAGTACTGACCAAGCCTATTTTAAACTTGAAATCAATTTTAGTGATTAGGAAGCTGAGAGTTAAATAAATACTCAGAATCTTAGTATGACTAATGATACCGATTGCATATACAAGTTCCTGTTCGATTATAACCAAGAATTCAGATGAACTGATGAATTAGATAAAAAAGAAATAAACACGTCCATAACCTTTATTTAGAGATATACATTACCGGTTAGATTTTGCAACACGTTCTAGCTCGTCCTTCTTTTTGATTGCATAAGAGTTTGAACTACCCTATAAAGAAGACATGAAAACATTGATTGTGGACTTACTTTAGCGGCATTCAGAAGTTCATCAGCTAAACATTCAGATATTGTTTTTACATTTCTGAATGCTGCCTCTCGAGCTCCGGTGCACAAAAGATAGATTGCCTGGTTTACTCTTCGTAGAGGAGAAACATCAACAGCCTGACGACGAACTGTACCACCGCGACCAATACGGGTTGAATCTTCCCGTGCACCACTGTTTAGCACCGCATTGACCAGCACATGGATCGGGTTCTACAAAAAATGCTGATGAGTCTAAGTATTTCAGTAAGTTCTTAAAATCGTAAAGGATCATACGAACGAGACGAACTCATCATAACAATAACTTTCAATACACGCATAAGTCTTACCTCACCAGAGAGAAGATGTATAATTTCGAACGTATGTTTAAGAATATTCATTGCCTTGACCTTCTTTCCATTGTTGCGTCCATGCATCATGAGTGAACAGCATACACGTTCTACCAAAGGACATAATGCCTTACGAAATCTCTTAATTTGATATCTGCCAGCTGTATGTGGGACTATTGGGTTTCCTTTCCGCTTGATATTTATGTAGTCCTACATAATAAACTAACGTTACTAATATATCGTACAGTCAGACTGAGATCATGTACATTAAGATCATCAGCACTCCACTTCCCGAAAAGCTTAATCTCTTGTTCGCAATCCATGAAGCCAAACACGCCTCCCAGAAACCAATAGAGCGCTCCACTGAGTGTTCACCTTGTTTAAACAAACAACTAGAACTTTTGGGAAATTCAAAGTTACCAACTGTTTTGATTTATGCACAGGTAGGGAAAGAAACATTTGCTTTTCAATACTATGATGGGTCCAATAATCATCTAATCGTCTGTCTACTATACAGGCAATATTAGCATTTAATAGAACGTCAAACACATTCAGTCGTTCGTTATATGGGTAGCAAGCTGGTATTTCAGTGTTCAACCCTTCGAATTCTTTTCAAGTGGTTATCCATTTTTCCCCCTAAAAAATAACTTCATAGGGGTGTTAGTACTTGTTTGAGTAGGACAATTCGTTCGCTCTGGACTGCTTGTGGATTATCCAATATCCAATATCTTTTTCACGAGCTAGTGTAAACCAATTTGATTTCTTCGCGCTCGATTCTTGTGCTTTCGGTACGGTTCCAGGTGTTCGGTAATGTCCAATGGATGGAGGTCTAGCCACTGTCTAATTCTAGTCAGTTGGCAGTTGGTTGTGAGTTTGTATGTCTCGGGATTTGAATGAAACGTTTGTTTCAGGGCAGTAGGGTTTCTGGATACTAGCAGCCGTCACATTACCAAACCGGAGATCAGTTAGTTGCAATGTGGAGAGTAATAAGGGTAATAAGGATAAATTAAAATGATAATATGAATAAAATTTCAGAACTGAGTAATATATAGATGAATTTAGTTTATTAATTGGCAGTGAAGATTGTGAGAGAGGACCGAAGTGTAAGCAAGGGAGAGGAATAGGCGAGATAGATTAATTGAGTGATCTGAGGAGATGGCAATGTTAAAAACTAGCAGGTCTCAAGATATGCATCAGGCACAGCTTTTCCAAGAGGGAGATGATAGTCCGCATGTGAGAACGTGATTATCAAGTCTCTTCTTAAAGCAGTCCACTGAGGGGGCTATAACTACCTCGGCTGGGAGAGCATCCCAAGTTGCGACGACTCGCACTGAGAAAAAGTGTGCACGAATCTGAGTGTTTGCTCTTTGATGTGCAATCTTTTGAGGATTGCCTCGAGGGGAGTGGTGGTGATGCATCGGTAAGATGCTCACATTGGTATGGTTTGGCGTGTTTAATATGGTGTACGCCATAATCAGGTCACCTCTGATTCTCCTGTAGCTCAGTGGGAATAATCCCAAGAGCTGGAGTCTATCGTCGTACGGTTTATTTTTCAACCCTATCACCCATTTCGTTGCTCGTCTCTACACTCGATCCAAGAGATTAATGTCTCTTTTAAGCAGAGGGGGTGCGATGACGTTGTGGACCTCCAAATGCGGGCGCGCGTACGTCTTAAACAGGGTTAAAAATAATTTCGGGGTGATAGCACCAAGCTGTCTCCGCATAAAGTGAAGAGTCGCATTTGCCTTGGCTGAATCCCCTACATAGTTCAGACTCGTGTGAAGGCTTTCTGTGGTCATTAAACCAAGATCGCGCTCTGAGGAGACATTAGGGAGCAGACTTCCATTGAGAGTGTAGGTGGTATGCGTCATATGAGGCAGGAAATGCATGACGTGGCACTTCGGTTGGTTGAGTTTTAAATCGTTTTCCACTGCCCATTTCTCAATGGATGTAGGGTCCTTTTGAAGCTCAGTCGAATCCTCTTCGCTTCTAATGGACCTCCAGATCTTCGCATCGTCTGCGTAGATCAGTGCCGGTGAGCTAACTAAGCTTAGCAGGTCGTTAATGAATATCAGGAAGAGGAGTGGGCCTAGGATGGTCCACTGTGAAACTCCTGAAGTGGATACTCTCCAATTTGCGTGCACCCTGTTTACCTTGGTGCGAAACTTTCTATTCTCAAGGTAGTTTCTGAGCCAAGATACGAGTGGGTCAGTGAAGCCCATTTCCACAACCTTTTCGATTAGGCGTGCGCGGGGCACTGTGTCAAAGGCTTTTGCGAAGTCGAGAAATACTACGTGCACTGGTATTTTACGGTCCAAGCAGGATGTCCAACTGTCCCATGCGATGAGAAGATTAGATGCACACGACCTGCCTTTCCGAAACCCGTATTGAGCTTCATGGAGTATTTTATTCTTATCTGTGTACTCCCTCATTTGTTCGTCCACTAGCCCTTCCATAACCTTTGATAATATAGGTAGTAGTGCGACTGGTCTGTAACAGGCTGGGTCCTTTCTATCTCCTCCTTTGAAGATTGGAGAGAGAGTAACTTGTTTCCATTCCGCTGGGAATTGGTGTGACTCCAGTGAATACCTGAACAGGTTGCATAACGGTGAACAGAGGGCTTCAGCGCACTGTTGCAAGACTATAGGGCGGATGTTGTCACAACCTGGTGACTTACCTGGGCGTAAGAATTTTAGTTTCCTTAATACTAGGTCAGGAGTGATACGGATGTTCCCTAAGCCGTCAGCTGGCATTTGGTTGGCGTAATACTCTGAACATGTAGGCGCCTGGTTTAATTGGTCAGAAAAATGGGTGTTGAAGATCTCGGCCATCTCTAGGTTGGTGAGGTCTTCTCCGTTAGGCCCTTTTAGGGGGCACAACCCTTGATTAGTAGGCTTTCTTTTGGACATGAACCTAAACAGATGTTTCGGGTTTGCCTCTATTCTCTCGGCTAGTTATAAAACTGTAATGCCTCCACATTTTTTTGCATTCGCTTACATTTAATTTGCTTAAGCCCTTACGATTAATTTCTTTAACCAAGCAATTCGCTTAGCAATAACTTGTATGTACCATTGGCTTTTATAATTGTATGGTTTGTATGAGCTTGTATGACTGAGCATTGCTTAACGCCTATGCACATATGCATCCTATTCGCTTTAATATTAATCTCTTAAATATCACGATGACTCAGACATTTTCCTTTATATATATACGAACATTTTAATCTTATTAATTCATTCGACCAATCGCATATTTGCTGGCTAGTTTGTCTGCCCGGTCTGTCTGTGGTCTGCTATCCTTATTGTGGTGTGCCACAATAAACGTATACGATACTTCGAGTTCATCTTCTGATTTATAAACCGAGCTTAAGAACACGAAATAATTCGTCACACCATAAACCTTTTCTGCTAACCTTGGACTTCTCGTTCTACGTTCATTCGGAAATAGCTAGTTTTACATTAATTAGTGCCAGAAAAACAGTAGCTAAGATTATGGTGCAATTATGGATGATTTAAAAGTAAAATGATTGTTAAAGAGGGTTCTAAAACTTATCAGGTGTTAGTAGACACGAAAATTATGTCTATCTGTCTACCTAACACACTTCTGCTAATGCACCGTCAGTTGTTTGCAATGCAAACAATATTATCTAATTTCACTAGATCTTGATGTGTTTTCGGCGATACGATAATCTACTGAAATATGATTTTGCCATTTAAGAATTTAGAGGAAAATAATTTTGCCAGAAAACTCATGCAATTGTTCAGTCACCGATACCATTCAGTCAGGTCAACAGTCTGGAACTGACTCATTATTTAATACACGTTATCAGTGTTCAAAGATGATAATGAAAACGTGCATTTACTCACACTCATTGGCATCGTTAATCAAGAATATGGACCGTTCCTACTGAAGTCTTTAACAGAGAAATAGTTCAAGGTCTTCTTATCTGCAGACTACAATTCCGCTATTTGACGGCATGAGGAAGCGGCTATTGGTTTCACTAAACCAGGACTCCAAACCAACTTTGATTGGTAAATGAATATCAGAGCCAAATAAATCTAAAACTAATAATTTATCGTATCTCCATGGACACAAGTGTAACTATAAAAATGACCAAAATTGTCCACCAATGTTACTAGTGCAAGGTTTGACCACAAAGTATTCTTGTAACAGCTGGCATAAAACTTTAGGTACTCTATTACCGAGACGTCTAGTGCTCTTTCAACCTCAAAAACCTCTAGATGTGAATAACTCAGTTGTATATATGGTCTGCAGAATATCTCAGGTGGACTACTTTGCACTTCGTAGTATTAAAATTAAAGCCTTCGTCATTCAGTCATCATTGAAGTCAAATCAAATGTTCTTGGAAAGCCGGCTCATAGTCTTGACCACAAACTTCTTTGCGAATTTCAGCATCGTAGTGAAAAGTGATGACTCAAATGACAGTTGTTCAAGTAGATCATTTATGTCAATTAATAGTAAGAATATTCCTAGTACTGAGCCTATCAAAGTTGGTTTGGAATCTATCAGTTTGATCCTATTGAATAGATATCTATGATTCACTCCATCAAAAGCTTTTGTGAAGTCAAGGTATATCACATGAACATTCTCTTTGCGATCAAAGATGGTTGTTCCCATATTTGTTGCAGTAAGCCGGTTTGTCATCCAGGACTTCCTCCTCAAAAACCGCGTTTTGAGGAAAAACGTTTATGGATAATGAGTACTCGCAAAGACCATCACATACCAAGGAATCCACAGTTTTGATGCCACATAAAAGAGTACCACCGGACGTTAACTTGAAGGTTCATTGCGTCAACCGCTTTTGAGATTTTTTACGGTTCGCATCGTCTTTTAATGGTTCATTACAGCGCCTTTGTTTGGATGATCACACTAAGTAGTGCTGCCACGACTGAAGCTACTTATTTCAGCATAGTAGAGTGAAGCATGGGCCAGAAGAGATGTCTTCTCTTAGATTATACAGTTAGTGATAAACAAGAGCAGTGCTTAGGTTTGCTTATGGGATTTCTCTTAGCTTCCAGATGAGGCTATCGTTGGTCTTGATTTTGTACCACAGTTGAAATTATTGAGTATATTGTTCTACCAAATGTTCTATAGTTCCACTGTTGCCAGGCCCTTCAGACCAAACGCTTGGGTTGCAATCCAGCCCTCTCTAGCAGTTAGTAGTGCATCTAGACATGAATATTTCCAAACCCAAAATGCTCAGAAATTAACCGATTACGTAATTAAAAATAACTTGGTGCCTTTGATTAAGTTATTTTTTCAGATGCTTCAATTATTATGACAGACTCATATATCGGTAGTTGGACAAGATTTGTTTCCGTATGTACTTGAATATAGTGCGAATGATAGCATCCTCCCTATCTCTATAATGTTGGGGCCCGATGACTCTATTTGAGGTTCTTATGTAAGGGAACAGT